GTGTTCCCAGATAAGAGTAATAAAACAGGAGCGAAGCAGGCTAGAAGACTATCGGGACGGCTGAAAGACCTTCACTCTGTGACGACGAGAGGCTGTGGAAGCGCACGAAAGAAGAAAGTGACAACTGCTGTAGCGGAAGATATTCCTACTAGGACGCGATCACCCGCGAGGAATACAACAGGAGCTCCGCCTTCTCGGTCTAGATCTGTAAATTCACAGGTGAAAAGTACTGGAGCTGCGGTGATGGCTGTGGTGCAGATGGAGAAGTCGCTGGATACGTCGTCAGCGGGCGACAAGATCCGTGATGCACTGAAGAATCACGTGTACAATGGCAAACCAGTGTCTTACACCGTATCAACTGCACTGAATTGTATCTTGTCGGGGGTGATTCGGTGGGAACGAAAGGATAGTAGTGGCTCGCATTATTGCTGTGCGATTTACTATGAAGCGCATGCATTTCTGGAGATGATACAGAAGAAAAGTTACAAGGAATTAGTCGCCGTAGTACAATATTTACAGACATTGGTGCCCAAGAGAAAGCAATCTCAGCAACAAGAGGATGAACCGACCAAGTACTTTGTCATCATTGAAGGCATGGATCGAGCCCTTATTGAGTTGAAAAAGCGGCAAAAGAAGAAGAAAACGAACGGAACAGCCGCGATCTCAACGTCTCCGATGATCACGTTCGCAGACTTGCAAGAAATCGCGTTCCAGTTGTTCATGGATGTGGGAGCTCATACAAAATTCACGTGTGATCTTGAAGCGACGGCGAACTACGTGGCTTTATTGACTCGCGAATTGGTTGTTGCATCATCACGAGCAACTGCTCTCGAGGAGCTTCTGGAATCTGTGCCTCGGTATAACTCGTTTCGAGTGACACGTAGCGGAGGAACAGCAAGTGCAAGCGCCAACGCGTGGCTGCGTATGCTTCAAGTGATCCCTGGTGTGAGTGAGGACAAGGCGCAGTGTCTGTTAGATCATTTCCCCACTTTCGACAGTCTCATGCGTGCGTATCGTGACCCGAGACTTTCCCGAGCGCAGAAAGAAGATATCGTAGCTGACAAACTCCACGATGCGCGGACTCAAAGAGCTCTGTCGAAAAAGATCTACTCTGTCTTCTGCGAGGAAGACCCTGACGCTTTGATTTAGAAGGTGTTCTGACATATACTAGAGAGTCTAATTGTTGTATGCTACGTAGTAGTCTTCAAGCCGCAGCGTCAATTTGCGTCCCGAGCATTATTGCCAACACGTGTACGTGAAAGTTTATCTGTTGCACAACTTCCACGTTGTTGACTATGCTGACGCCGACTCGACCAAGTTGGCGTAGATACCGTTGAGCTGCAGGAGCTCCTGGTGAGTGCCCTGCTCTGCGATCTTGCCACCACTCACGACACAAATCTTGTCAGCGCGGCGAATCGTCGATAACCGGTGAGCAATGACGATGGTGGTCCGTCGCTTCAACGCCATCACTTTATCCAGAGCCTCCTGCACCACCTTCTCGCTCTCCGAGTCCAGAGCACTCGTGGCTTCATCCAGTAGCAAGATGTCCGGATTCTTCAGAATAGCTCGAGCAATGGCAATACGCTGCTTCTGGCCTCCCGACAACTGCTCACCCTTCATACCCACCTGAGTGTCGTAGCCGTCCGGGAACTGCGTGATGAAATCGTGCGCGTTGGCCATCTTGGCAGCTTCCTCGATCTGTTGCTGACTCGGCTGCTCTGCCAAGCCGTACGAGATGTTCTCAGCGATGGTTCCGATGAACAGCGTGGGCTCCTGACCCACCAGACCAATCTGACTACGCAGCCAACCCAGGTTCAGGTCCTTGATGTTGTGGCCGTCCAGTAACACCTCACCAGCCACGGGGTCGTAGAAGCGCTCGATGAG